GGAAGCCGGGCCGCCGTATACGGCAAAACTGATGTTACGGTCCAGCTGATAAGTATTGGTTTTTTTCATTGCCGATGTTTCAGACAGCTTGCCGAGATGAGATTTTCATGCGCTTCTCCTCTTCCTTTAGATGCCCGAGCCGAACGCGTCGTCCTCCAGTGCTAATAATTAGCAATGCAAAATTAAAATCTACAGAATTGAGCTTTGGGAACAGTCATTCTAATATCCGAACAATTCAAGCGAATTGCGAGTGTCGATTATATGCGCATAATTAAGCACATTACCAATATATACTTGAGCAGGTGATTTATGTGTCATCGACGCCCGTTCTCACACGCCACCGATGCAGCACCGGCGCTCCGAGTCCACACCCGATACCATACGCAGGCGTACCATGGGATCTCTCCACCTCACTGGTGGCTGGTGCCCCAGTGTTCGCTTAACTGTGCGCCGGTACCATTCCATTATCCGCTTCATCCATCTATTTGTCTGACATCCCTGCCACATGACCATTCCATCTCCTCCTCTTTCTGGCGCACATTGCTTCAGTAATATCTTTTATACCAGAATAAATATAAATTTACGGCTTTTATAAAATCAGACTAAATTTTTGGCTTTTGGTGGCTTTTATATATACATATATGTGTATACTGTTGGGCATGCCGGACCGTATACGGCAAAACTGATGTTACGGTGTATATATGTATATATGTGTACATATATATGTATATATATATGTATATATATATATGTGTACATATATACGTATGTATGTATGCATGTATGTATGTATGTATGTGTATGCATGTATATGTATGTACACCTAGATATGTATTTACATATATGTATGTGTGTGTATGTGCGTACACATGTGTATTTGTGTACATATATAAATTTCTTATACTGTTTATTATGTATGTTTTTTATGAATGCCTTTTTTAGGCTTATTAGAAATTAGAATATTTTTTTTTTTTTTGAAACTTCATCGATGCGCTACGAGACTATTCGATAGCAGTGATCTAAATATTGAGCAGACTACTTTGTTGGCTTTAATTTAGTGGTCAAAAATGCGTACCAGTCATCAATCGATGTGCGGTCAGCGGCTATCTTTCGGCCATAAATCCTCCCCCTGGCTTATGTGTGCTCTGTTTGAAATTGGTTAGCGAATTGTGCAATTGGACCGAGCTGTCAGAAATGCCTAGAGAGCATCACATTCTTTGATAATTCGGCCAACACTTTCGTTTATCGAAGCGCGCCTTCGTTGCTACCAGCAGCCTTTTGGGATAGTCTGATGGGCACCTGGTGCTGCAGAGAAGTCTCGATTCGCTTGCATGGCTCTCTAACTCCCACGGCGCCGATTCCCCTCCTCCTACATTATTGCGGAAGTGCGATCGTTGTTGGGATGGCTAGGAGTTGATTTTTGTGAGTGGTGAAATAATACTAGCTGCTTTCTTCTTCCTCACCTCCTCCTTCCCGCTGCACAGCTGCCAGTTTGGTCTGCTTACGAGTGCTTTTTAAATTCCTACTTTGATCGGCTTCTTTTCTTTGCGTATTGTGTTTGCGTTAATTGAAGCTGGTTCGCGCTACTTGATTTGCGAGAACTGTCGGCGATTGTTTGGATGTGGACCGCCCGATGAGGATGATTTCAAAGGAGGCCTTCTGAAAGCCAGCGAAGCCGGCAAGAAACCACCTTATCCAAAAGAGGTCTGCCTTTGCATCATCCTTTTCGTTTGTTGTACGTTTTTTGGCACTTACAAAAACTCGGCTCGGCTTATGATCTGTGGCGCTTTAGTGGTGCTTCAGCGCTTTGCTCTTTCGTCTCTACCAACACTATTTACGGCGCCGCTCGAAGTTATTGCCAGACGCGCTGGGTAGCGCTGCCCACTGTCTGGCAGCTGAATACCGCACCTGGGAGGGGGGAGGAAGGGTGAT